GGTGGATGGGGCAAGGATTGGAGTACTGGCGGTAAAGGAGATCCAGCGCTTGGGCCCATTGGTGATGCTAAAAGCACGAATCCTTGGGCAAATAATTCTAAGAAGTCAAAGACCCCTGGCGGGTTTGATTTTGGGGATCTTGGTCCTCCGGGCCCTGATCCAGTCCCCGAGGCAAAGGAAGACGATTGGGGCGCCTGGGGTACTGCCACCAGCAAAGACAAGAAAAAGAAGAAAGGGCTTCTCGACCCCGAACCAGAGCCTGAACCTGAACCGGTGGTCGAGCCCGAGCCCGAGCCCGAGCCCGAGTCTGAACCTGAAGAAGAAGCTCCCCCGGATCCATCACTTGAGACTTCTTTCCTAGGCCTCTCGAAAAAGGAACAGCGGAAGGTCAAGAAAGAGTGGGAAAAGAAGGTGAAGGATGTCGAGGAAAGGAATAAGCCGATCAGGGAAGCCAAGGAAGCCAGGAGAGCAGCCAAAGAGGAAGCAGCCCGGAAGGCCCAGGAAGAAGAGGAAGCTAAAGCTCAAGAGGCCGCCGCCGTACCTGAAGATGACTTCTCCTGGGATGTGCCCACTAAATCCAAGGACAAGAAGAAGAAGATAGATCTTCTTGCTGACCCCTTACCAGCGCCAGACCCACCCCCAGCGGATGACGACTGGATGGGTAGCTGGGGCACCTCTGGTAAGCAGAAGGATAAGAAGTCGAAGGCCGAGCCTGAGCCACTGATCGAGGATCCTCCACCGGAGCCCGTTAAAAAGGAAGACGACTGGGCTGGCTTGAATGTCACGGTCAAGGACAAAAAGAAGAAAAAGGGCAAAGAACTTGAGCCTGAACCAGAGCCGGAGCCTGAACCAGAGCCAGAACCCGAACCCGAACCAGAGCCGGAACCTGAACCTGAACCAGAGCCGGAGCTTGATCCATTATATGAAGGGTGGGCGACCTTGTCCTCCAAGGAAAGAAAGAAGCGTGAGAAGAAGTTAACACAGAAGGGGCTTGGTATTCCGGGCAAGGATGGTTTCGAGCTTCCTAGCGATAAGCCCGCCGAACCAGAGCCCGAGCCAGAGCCTATACCTGAACCTGAACCCGAACCCGAGCCAGAACCAGAACCGGAGCCGGTGCCTGAGCCGGAACCTGAGAAGCCAGCCGACGACTGGGGTAGCTGGGGTGTGACAGTGAAGAAGGACAAAAAGAAGAAGAAGGGCAAAGAAATCGAAGAACCGCCACCACCAGCACCTACTCCTCCTGCGCAGGGCCTTACCCCTGAGCCCGATGCGGATCTCCAAAACGGCGACGACATCTGGGCCGACCTTGCTCCAAAGAGTAGTAGCACAAAGAAGAAAGCCCTCGAATCCGCCAAGGAAGAAAAGCCTGCCGCCAAAGGGTTCTGGGGAAGTTTGATGGGCAGCTCTGCGAAACCCAAGACAACCAAGAAAGAATCTACTCCCAAGAAAGAAATACCAGAGGAAGACCTTCTCATCGATGTTGGGGACGATCCTAAGGAAGCCGAGCCGGAACCTGTGCCTGAACAAGAACCAGAGCCAGAGCCAGAGCCAGAGCCAGAACCCGCACCTCCTGCAGCGCCAGAGCCACCACCTGTGGACAAGTCGAAATCTAAGACAAAGACTTCAACTGCCAAACTTTCTGTGGCCGAGCGTATAAAAGCCCTCGAGCAGACAAAGAAAGACAAGGCAAAGGATCTGGGTACTAAGAGCAAGAAAAAGCCCGAACCCGAACCCGAGCCTGAAGTTGTCCCTGAGCCAGAGCCTCCTGTCGAAGAAGAGAAGGAACGCTCTAGTGACTATCTTCCTGGAAGCTTCCCTGATGAACCCGAAGCGCCTCCTGCCGAGCCGGAACCCGAACCAGAGCCAGAGCCAGCCCCTGAGCCCGAACCGGACTTGTCAAAGATGACCAAAAAGGAGTTGAAGAAGTACAAGAAAGCCCAGGCTGAAAAGGAGGCCGCTGCTGCTGCTGCTGCTGCCGCCGCCAAACCACCTACTCCACCCCCTGCGGAGGAACCACCTGCCCCAGAACCCGAGCCAGAGCCAGAGGCAGAACCTGCAGATGAAGGTGCCCCTCCAACACCTCCACCGGAGCCTGTTGAGGAGGTGCCAAAGTCATCCAAAAAGGACCGCGCCAAGGTTGAGAAGGCGAGTAGTTCAGGTTGGGGCTTCTTCGCAGGTGCTCCGCCACCAAAGAAATCGAGCAAGAAAGAGAAGAAGGTGCCAGAGGAGGTAGAGCCACCCAAGAAGAAGGAAAAGGAGAAGGCGCCAGAGCCTGAACCTGAGCCCGAGCCTGAACCAATTCCAGAGGTAGAAGATTCTCCCCCGCCAAACCGAAATCTTCCAAATCAAAGCCCAAGGAATCCGATCAAGAGCCAGAGAAATCATCTTCTGATCGCGAGAGGCGCAAGGAACGCGAAGAAAGACGGGCGGAGCGGGAATCCGCAGAGCGCGATGCTCGTTCTTCGAAGCAGCAGCGTGCAGCAAAGATGTCTAGCTTCATGTTCGGTGGACCTCCGCCGCCGCGAACAAAGTCATCTCGTAGACCAGATGGTGCTGCTGTGAAGAAACCTTCCTCCAAATCGGCTTCTAGGCGTGCGTCTGAAGATGTGGATGAAGCTGTCATGCCTTCACCTCCACCTGAAGACAAGCCTGAGGTATCGGATAAGGCCGCTAAGCTGATGGGCATCAACGCGTCGAAATCGAAACGGGACCGGCCACGTGCAGAGAGACGCAAGTCAGGTAAGACCACTGTTTCACTGAAAATATTTGCAGTAATAACTAATACTTTGTGTGTCCCGCAGCCCGAGATCCTTACGCTATTGAAGATGATGACTTGGTCATGGTTGATAAAGAAGATGCGGAAGATCAGTCGCCGAAGGAGGGTTCCAGAGGATCAGCGAAGCGAAAGTCCAAGCGAGAGGTGAGACTTGAATTCCAAAGAACTGATCAGAAAGAGGGTCATTCATTAACTAACATGGATTCTGTATAGTCCCGCCCCCGAGGCGACGATGAAGATGCCGTCCTGGTCGATGCAGAACAAGCTCGCGGAGGCCCAGATGTTCTATCGGGGCCTGATGACATTGCTTTCGTCGATGCACCTCCAAAAGAACGTCGCCTAAAACGATCCAACACGGCGCCTCCCAAGAAACAAGAAACTGGGGGAATCATGGGTCTTTTCGGTTCCTTGAGAAAGAACACCCGCCCCGAAATGCCTGATCGTCGCAAATCCCGCTCATACCGCGACGAAGAATCGAAAGGTTTCACTGAGACAGAGCGTGAAGACCGTCGACCACGCAGAGAAGATCGTCGTCGTCGCCCCGCGAAACCCGATACCGACGCTGAAGGATTCACAACAGATGCCGCAGGCGCAGCAGGCGGCGAAACCGAACCCGAAGACGCCGAGGCACGTCGAGTAGCACGTCGCGCGAAACGCTCCTCTCGCCAAGCACCCTCCGAAGCGCGCGAAATGGAAGCACGTGAAGCAGAAGAACGACGCGCCAGACGCAAAGAGAAAGAGCGAGCCCGCGAAGTCCGCGAACAACAAGCCCGAGAAGAGGAAGAACAGCGCCGACAAGCTGAAAAGGAAGCACGTCGCGCTGCACGCGAGGAGCGACGCGCAAAAGAAGAACAAGCAGCCCGTGAAGCAGAAGCTGCTGCCGAAGCCAAGGCCAATGAAAGACGCGAACGTCGTCGCCAGCGCGAAGAAGAGGCCAAGGCGAAAACCCAGGGCCGCCGCCGCTCCCGTGTTGAAGAACCCACGGACCCGTACGCAGCCGAAGAGCAGGAGAATGATCGTCGTCGGGACTCACGAACAGAGGATCCCAAGGCTCGACGTCGCAAGTCGAAGGCACCGCCTCCACCGCAAGAACAACCTCGTAAATCCCCATACGACAGGTCAGGCGGTATCAACCACGGCGATACAGGCGGGCCCAAGAAAGACAAGATCTCATCATGGGTCTATTCGCAAGCAGATGAACCTCCAGAACCTCCACCAATCATGCCTACAGTCCTCGACATGCCTCCCAACGAAGGGAACGCCGCTTCTCTCTCCTCGGACGAAGAGGTTCGTCGCGCCGCGCGCCGCCGTGCCAAACGCCGTGCCAGATATGGCGATATCCCCGATGAAGATATTGACGAGATTCGCTCACGGAAGAGAGAAGCTCAGGGTCGTGTGAAGAGTTCTTCGGGTAGTGGGGACTATGAGCGTGATCGTGGTGCGCGGTCTCATGGTAGTCGACATGGTGATCGAGAGCGGGAGCGTGCTGCGCCCCCGAGTTCGGGTGGGAAGAAGAGCTGGTTTAAAAAGCTTACTACGTTTTGATTTGCGTTGGCTGTTTGGAAATACCATTTGCAGGTACTCTGCGGATTATGTACATGTGGCGTTGAACTTTTTTCGTTGGTTTTTCTCTTTTTTGTTTGGGGACTTTTGTTTAGTCCCATTGTTTATGATGTTGATATAGCATGGGTGGCTAGGTCCACTGCTTTATTCCTTTTACGACAGATACGATACGATTACTATGATTGCAATATACTACGATTCATGCGACCTTGATACCTGATCTCTATGTGTTGGTTAATAGATACAACCTGTAGATTTAAGCTGCATCTCCCTTTTGAATTTCTTATACTTAGTGCTTTCTTTCCTGGTAATACGATTCAGGTACTACTAGTACAACCTGAAATCTCCGGAATCGACTTTCGAGATCGAGCCAGCGCTAGAACTAGTTCCGCTCTCAGTTCAATAGGTACAGTTGCAGGTTTCGGGTTGAGGCTGTCAGATTGACGCGCTCCACATTACCCATGCCACCCCAAAAGCGGACTTTGGGTCTGTATTTGGTCTCACTACCAATAATCATCCCAACTAAAATTTAATTTGCACTCGTTCTGGATCTTCTCGATTGACAATTTCTCATAGCTTTGCCTAATAATCAGATAGGTAAGGTCATTCTTTCGGGATTTCTGACCAGTGTCGTCAGTTTAAGATTCCGCGTCTACTCAGGATGTCCGGTAAGTGTGCCGACGATATGGATTTTTGGCTAGTACATATAGCTTACTAGAACTTGAACGCCGTCGATCTGACTCCAGCTCGGCTATTCCAGAAATCAGACTACAATGTTTCAAAGCTTACGACTATAGTCGAGGATTTTGATCTACTAGACCATGAAGCGTTAGATGATAAACCCGAACCAGCAAAAGCTTCAAGTTCAAAAGTCAAGTTTTTGGATACAAAACCTAAAGTAGTCGAATTTCTCGAAAGCATTCGCGTTATTTCTTCAACTACGCCATATCTTTATATCGACATAGAGGGAATAGAGCTGTCGCGACATGGTAACATTTCTATCTTAGAGGTTTACGTCCTCCCAGCCGGCAAAACCTATTTACTAGACATCTACACCTTGCAAGAGAAGGCGTTCTCAACGCTAGACTCACGAGAAACAACTCTGAAGAGAATCCTGGAATCGAACGAGATCAAAAAGGTTTTTTTCGACGTACGAAACGATTCGGACGCATTGTTTGCTCACTACGGAATTCACCTTGCTGGAATCCATGATCTTCAGTCAATGGAACTCGTCACTCGGTCCTACAGCAAGAAATTCGTCACAGGTCTTGGCAAAGGTATCGAAACGGACGCTCCGATTACACCCACTGAAAGACTAGATTGGACCCGTGCCAAAGAACGCGGTAGAGAACTCTTTGCGCCAGAGTGTGGCGGGAAGTACGAAGTATTCAACAATCGCCCATTGTCACAGGATATCCTGCAATATTGCTGCCAGGATGTTGAATTCCTACCTACACTTTGGAAGACATACGATGATAAGATGACCTCGAAGAAACGAGAGTGCGTTGTGAAGGAGAGTATCAGGCGAGTTAATCTATCCCACATGCCTAATTATGATGGAAAGGGAAGATCAAGGGCTCTGGCCCCTTTTTGCTTTGTCTGAGATCTATTTGTGGTATCCTAGAAAGTTGTTCTCGTTGCTTTTTCTGGCTTTATAGTCTGAATTCTTTCGAGACTATCAGCCGTTACGACCTCGGGAGAATCCATACAAGGAGGTCAGAGATGAAGAAAAAGGATGGTAAATGCATTGGGGAAGATATTTGGCATACTCCGAATAATTTAATATAGCTGTTAGGGACATAAAGCTTCAAACTATTTTATTTAAATGCAGGCTCTGAGCCATCGTCGAGATTGGCCAAATACTAGCATATATTGCACCAAATGTGATTGCGAGGAATCATACCTCTTCCAAGGTTCTCTTCCCCCTACCAACTCCCTCAATCAACACCCTCCAACGCCTTCCTCCGATTCTCCAAATAGAATCGCCCACCCTCATAAAGACTCAAATACAAACTCATAGAAACAGCAGTCCAACCAGCGCGAATTGCACCACCTTTGAACAACCCCCTCACGCCTTCTTTCTGTACAATCTCCCTCCCAACGGCAATCGTCCCTTTCTTACCACCTGCAGAAATACTCTTTCCCACGGGGCCCTTCTTTTCTTTAGATCCCACTCCACCATCTTCACTGGCAGACAACATAACCCGCGTCTTAACAACATCAATTGGCGTCGTAACCGTCGAAGCAACAAGTCCAGCCAGCGAAGCCGAAATACCCGTCAACCCAGCCCTCTCAATAAGTTGCTCCCTCATTCCCTCCGGAGGTCTACTACTCGCTGAAGCAGCTGCTTGATCTCCATCGAGTCTCCGAGTCGTAGTCGTTCTCGCTGTTGCCCTTCGTTTCCGTCGCCAGTCAATCGCATTAGCACGCAGATACTCGAAGAGCGGAAATTGCAAGCCCGTGAATGGGAGATTGCGGCCGACTAGCGCGGTATATCCGCTCCAAAGGCGCCAGGGTCGAGACTTGAAGCGGGAGAGCACCTGGCGCATGGCTTTCACGTTTGTACTAGTTTTGGGGGCTTGGTTGTGCTTGTGCGAGTGGGTAGAAATTTGCGAAGACTGGACCATTTGTGCGTTCTGTTTTAGGACTTCTGCCGGTGTGAGGATTAGACAGGAAACCATCTCTGCGGTTGATGAGGCGATGGCGTGGATTATTGGTGTTGGGAGGGAATGGGTGAAGGGCAGCTTTAGAGTCGTGTTTGAGTACTGCGTTTGAAATTGGGTTGTCTTTTTGGTCGAGGTTGATGAATTGTGTAGTGTGCTTTTTACTGCTTCGTAGGTTGTGAAGAATGCTCCTGCTATTTTTTGGAGAAATTGACGTTAGAAAATCATTCAAGTTTCTTTTACTCTTCGCTTTCTTTCGTCACAATTCAAGTAACTTGGGCCTGATGGAAGACGAACATGATGGAATTGTGGAAAGTACCACGCTCCACACGCCTTGGTATAAACCACGGAAAAGTACATCACGTCTAATAGCGCCGGTGCGTACATCTTTGAAGACTTGCTCGTAATTTGGTGATTGGATTCTGGTCTTTACTGTGTCGAAAGGGTAGACTATGAAATCAACGACCACTGCGGCGAAGGCTCCGGCCTATCCATAGTATCGAATTTCAGTCAACAAATTTTCAAATTGAATGCTCTCCAGATCCTGGGCTCCATTGTTCCCGGTTTTGAGCTGAACTGTCGATCGACGCGACAAAGTGCAGGTGGATCTCCGGGTGGGTATATATAGTAGTAGATGGATCAACTTACAACCCAAATGTCTGAGTGCGTGTTATACATGACAAATAGCTTGCAAGACGAGGAAAGAAGTCTAAATGATGAAATCAGAAATATTAGCAATGTTATTTGAATACTCAATCCTCTCTTCAAACCTGTATGACAGCACTGGCGGATGAAGTCATCCATATCACGTGAGATTGACTGCCCTATGCGGCTTAGGGCTAAATGATCTACGAGGTACAAAGCGGAGTACGATCGAGCAGATATCTTGGAGAGTCAAATATAAATAAAACGCTGCAATCATGTCTAACATAATTGTTTTCTATGGGCGGATGCGAGTCCATACATGTCGCGTCGCACACATCAGACAGGAAAAAGAAAAGGGGACTCGACATCGACACGGGTCATACAAAAAAAGAAGAAGAGGAAGTCGTATTAACATCCAGAGAAACATTTTCCCTCCCTACGCCGTAAAAAGGTTTCATGCAATCCCAAAATAGCCGTTCATCACCTCACCGCGTACTTGCACTTGCACTTTGCATTTATTTCGCAACCTCACCGGGGAGCAGGTTGCCCTTGGCGGCAAACATCTTGCCGGTAGTGGCCGAGACGAAAGCGTCGACCTGGCGAGAGAACTGTTCCACCTGGCGGGTGTTGAGCATGCTCTCCAGGCGGCTGGGCTCGGCGGGGAGCTTGAAGAGGCGCTGCCACTCGTCCTCGGGGAGGAGGGGCTGCTTGAGGGCGGCGCGGGTGGCGTTCTCTTGGGTGCGCTTCTGCTTCCAGTTGTTGATCTTCTGCTGCTCACGGCCGAGCACACGCTGGTAGTACTGGTAGTTGTTGGTCTCGGTGTTGTGGGCCTCGATGCTGTCCAGGAGGAGATCGCAGTTCTTCTCCAGGTAGGGATCGATGTTGAGCGCCAGGTTGTCGAAGTTGGGGGTGAGAATGGAGGATTTAGAGTAAGGGCTGGCCTCGAGGGCGGCGAGCGAGGGGGGAAGGTCGGTCGGGGCAGCGGAGGGGGTCTGCAGCTGGTGGATGAAGGAGGTGATCAGGTGCGAGTTGTGGATCTCGACGGGGAGCTCATCAAAGATGTCTTGGTAGCGGACGGTGGACTTTTGGAGACTAGAATGATGTGTTAGCTATTTTGATTTGCTTCCACTCGCGAGAAGCTTGGTCGAGTCGACCGTTTCGCAAGTCTTGTCGTGAGTCTGTGGTACGTACTCCTCGGAGCTGAACTTGTTCTCCTTGAAAGCCTCGACGAACTTGGCGGAGAGGCGGAAAGCGCGCAGGCTGAGGCTGCCCTGGGCACTGCGGCTAACGTCGTGGACAAGGGCGACTGTCCGCTCGTTCAATTCCTTCTGGTAGAAAAACTGGTTCTCGATCACGTTCATGTTGACGAAGTTGCCCATGTTGGCGCTGGTGTACCAGCCGACGCTGTTAGCGTCGACGTTGACCTCGCGCACCATACGGATCATCTCTGCTTGGTAGGCGGCGTTGGCCTTGACGCGGGGAGCAGAGGCAGCGGGGTTCGGGGCGGCGTTATCGAAGTGCGACTCGGTGGGCAGCTCGACCACGGGGAAGGGGAAAGAGTTGGTGATCTCGAGGGTGCCCTCAATGTCCATACCGACGAGGGCGCCGGTCGCGGTGGTCGGGAAGGTCTGGTTGCAGTGCTTGATGATTTTCATCACCACCTAGAGCGTCGGATATGAGTATTTCTCGCTGGCAAGGGAAGGGAAGATTTTCAAGATTCGAGGGGATCGTACCAAGGCCTCGACCTTGACGGCCGCGATGGGGGATTGTACTCTAAAAAGAGATATTAGCAAATAGACATGGCTGCAGGACAGATCTGGAGACGTACTCGGCCATATTGACGTGGGGGATGTGTTGGGATGTGAAAGACGAAGGTGGATGGCAGCCGCGAAGGTTTGTGTGCCAGCCCGACTTTGACAATCCTGGAAAGGGTTTAGCGTGGGACGGTGAGTGGTAATACCATACGGTTATCTTTGGTGTGGATGGAGGGGCAATACTGTATTCATACACCGCCTGGCAAAATTACCAGAAGTATGAATCGAACAAGGAATACAATACAATAATGATTACCCAAAGATAGTATTGACGATAGGATAAAACGAGGTTAGTAGTTTAAAAAAGGATCTAATGTTCCTAGACCTTAATATCCCGAGGGAAAAACAAGATTAAGGCGAAGGGTGGCATATTCATGCAAGTACTACCTCAAGGAAGTAGATTAGAATAAATTCTCTAGTAGAAACATCACAGTAGTAGAACATAGAAGTGGTATAAAGTAACTTGAACTTGATAATCACCAGATAGACTATGAAATAAATCGACTTCCATTGTCCTGTCAACTTGAAGTTCAAGTTCATAGAGGGGACTCTGATATTAGGATCTATCTGACCAAACCCATATATAGAACTATGGCAAACAACCGAGTCCGAGTCCTAAGGCGGATTCTCGATAAATTGCCCCGACATACTACTAGTAGTATGGGACAGGCCTTACAATGCTGGTAACATCTAGGTGGTTATTGTTGAATTTGCGACTGTTATACTACTCAAATAGTACTACTAGTACAAGTACTAGTAGTCAATGCATTGCCGTTCATGCCGCATCTATAGATCCATCCCCGTCATGACATCCTCCTCAACTAAACATGGAACGAAGTAAAGCCACTCAAATAGTTATAGAACTGTACAAAACAAAGAATCCCTCGTTCTTCTGTGTAATATATAGCATATCATAAACAAAATAAACCCATATAATTATTTTACCCCGCAATGGAAGCCGTTGGAATGTCCCACTGTTATCGACGACCCCAAGCCTTATCGAATTGACGTAGGGTCCCCCTAACCTTGGGAACTCCGACCTCCCAACTCTCACTTCGAAGCACAACCACGAAAGACAATGGCCACCGAACCAGGCAAACGAACCGTTTCTTACGGACGATTTCACAATCTACAAACAATCTCCGTGGCCACCCTCCCACCGCGCCCCAATGGTTTCTGGGTCATGTACGCTCCCCCAGACAAACAACCACCCCCACCATCTGTCGCATACGATTCCAAGATAACACAAAGATACCATGAACTAATAAAGAAAAACAGCTACATCCACGGCGGCGCCTGGCGCGACCCAACAATAACAGCAGACAGTTTCGAAAAAACCGAAAACATCCTTCGCGCAAGCCCACACCTCCCCATCGCCGGCTACGCCTCAATCTCATACAGACTAAGCCCTCACCCAAACCACCCCCAAGACGTCGAAGAAACACCAACCGAGTCCCTCCGCACGGCAAAACACCCAGACCACATCCGCGACGTCGAGGCCGCACTAGCCTTCCTCCAAAACACATACGCCTTTGGCGACAAGTACATCCTAGTCGGTCACAGTTGCGGCGCAACACTAGCCTTCCAAGCCGTCATGGGCGCTGTCGCGGGACACAGGGAAGTTCGATTCAACGGTGGTGTGAACGATTGCGGCGCTGGCGCCGAGACTATTCCCAGTTCACCGGGTCCCCTGCCACCAGCGCTGACGTCGCAACCTACCGCTATCGTGGGTGTGTCGGGGATATACGACCTGCGCAAACTGCGCGATGATCATCCCGGTATCGATGCCTATCGCGAATTCATCGAGGATGCGTTCGGCGAGGATGAGTTACTTTGGGATACGGTTTCGCCGGCGCAGATGATTGGGTCGAGGGGTGTGGAGGGTGGTTGGAAAGGGGGTAGATTGGCAATTCTCGCCCATTCCATGGATGATGAGCTTGTTGATCAGGGTCAATTGGATGTTATGTATGAGGCATTGAGGGGGTGGGAACGGGGGAAGGCGACAAGGCGGCGCTCTTCGGCGCGCTCTTCTGCGACGGTTGAGGAGTCTGGGAATGATGATGGGAGTCGGGCGGTTAGGACGATGATTATTGAGGGGGGGCATGATGAAATTTGGAGTGAGGGGGAGCAGTTGGCGAGGACTATTAAGTATGCGTTTGTGGAATTGTTGCGGATGGGAATTGCGCCTGAGCCGGAGCCGTTTGGGGGTGAAAAGGTTCCTTCGCATTGAGATGGCCTTGTTGATGAGAGTTGATGAGAGTTCACTACGACTGTTTGTCTGTTTTTCGCATGCACACTGGCATCTTTAGAGATCTATAGACTAGACTCCTAACAATTCTACGAGACATGATGATTCAAAAGTAACTTTATATTCTTCATTTCGTGTTTTTGGGCGGAGCAGTAAGAAGGAGGAATGTAGATACAAATGTCGGGGGAAACACGATTGGCCTGTGGGAGGAGGGCCATGAAAACGCCATTAGTCGTAAACGCATATCACGCAAGATCAGGTCATAGGAAAGTCCCTCATTACGCCGAATATTTGCTCATGAATGAGATCCAGGTGTGTATCAGTTGCCAAGATCCATGCGGCCCGATGCCGCATCTCCAGCCACCTTCTCCGTCTTAGCGGGGACGGGCTCCTCGCCGTAGTCGTAAGCGTCATCATCGCTCTCGCTCTCTTCGATGAATCGGTGGCTAATGTCGAATTCTGAAAGACGGTAGCCAAGATCTTCACGCTGGCCGTCTTGCCAGCGGGCAAGGGCCGCGGCGGCGTGGACCTTGAAGCCATAGATGCGAGGCTCAAATCTGCGCATGCTCTTCTCCGGGTTTAAGGCGGGGTACACCTGGAAAAGGATGGAGTGGAATGATGTGCCGAAGTAGGCACCGTCGATGGAGGCGTGACGAGAGGACTTGGGGTTGTAGATATCCTCGCACTTGGGGCAGTACAGTTTCACAGTGCTCATGTTGGGAAGATCGGCCTGGCCCATAGGGAGAAGAGGGTGCCCGTCACACATAACACGAGGGCATTTGCCAAAGTCACACTTCTTATACTTGTCAAGCTAGAGGTTTTCATTAGCTCGAGCTTATGGAGGAGGGATGGGAATACCAAAGCAGGAGTAGCTTTAGGACTTACCATTTTGGCGAGACCGCGTGTAGTCACAATGTATCTAGCATGAACCAACCCATAGAGATGACGGGCAGATTTCTCAATCTGTTCCCGCAAATCATCATCGGCATCTAGGTCAAACACATCCGTCACGAGATCGAGAGCATATTGGTAATAGGGAACCTCTGTGTTCAGGCCAGTGAGGTTGAACCGATCCGTCAGGTAATCCTCGTCGATTTCACAAAAGTACTCATTTCCCCGCGAAGAAACGAACTAAAAAATAACCGAAGAGTGGTTAGCTAACATGATCATCAGATAAGCTATATACCCGGCATCTCCAGGCCCAGTCATCGTGTTGTCGCGGGGCATATCAGTGGGGCGCCGCGGGTGGGCTGGAAAATGCCGCAAGGAAATCACGGACTCACCCAGTCTCTCCAATAGCTGGTGTAGTCACTATCCGTTTCACTGTTGAAGTCTTCCATCATGGTAAAGGCCAGCTGGTTGACCGGATCCGTTCAGGGCGGCTTCCGCGCAGTCGCAGATTAGGGCAGGGCGAAAGGCAGATGTTGGGCGGATCAACCCCGGGGTGCTGGAAACCCCGACTGCGGCACCACTGGGCAATGCCGTAGGTCTATTCGTATCGAGTTGTCGAGAATCACGGTCGAACCGCGAGAGGGAGGGCGATGAGTGGGATGAGCTGGAGATTGGGAGACTCGAGACTGGGTTTGTGCCCGCCAATTCAGGTGGGCGTGGGCGGTGAGAAGGACATTCTGCCGGATATTTATACACAGGTCGGTGTATGATCTACACTATACAATGATACGCTGCCCTCCCTTGACAAAAATGAGAAATCTTCATGGAATCTTCAAGGAAAGTCATTTCACTAATCCTAAAAACCACCATATTCATCCCCCAAAGTCAGCCACCTCTTTGCCAGATCCCCGCTTCGCCATCCTAGAACGAGGGGTTCGCATTCGCAACCAGTTGAGCAAAGTATGCCTGAATAATTCAATTAGCCAATACGGTCAAATATCGTCACCCGAGCATTGAAACTTACCTGGAACCAAGTACCGGCCTCGGGGGCTGGCTGAAGAGCATCACTATATCCACAGTGGGCGTCATACCGTGCCGAGCTACTGTCCGAGGTGCCATCACTTTCACCACCGGGCTTGACCCAAACAAAAGCATCTGCCAGGGCATCACCGGTGTTTGTAGTGGGCCGGACACCAAATCCAGTGCCCTTGACATTGCACCAATCGCCCCAAGCATTCTGCTGAGTGGGCTGGACACCATTGCGGCCTGTGAGGGTCAGTCAAGATTAGTCCATACATACAAGTGTTCAAGAAAGTCCTCCTTGCTTACCGGTATCTGTGATGAAATGGGCATCCCATCCTGCGCTCCTCAGAAGCGGCGCCATGGCGTTGATATATTTCTTTTCGTCGCAGTTGCTGTCGCCCGAGGTGTAGGAGGGGCAGCTGGACAAAGACCAGCCGTTGTAGTTGGCAACGTTTGTTGCCAGGCCACGCAGCGAAGCCGGCTGAGAGGCATTGTTGTAAACTTGAGCGTAGAGCTGAGCTGCTGGGCTCAGATTTGCAGGCCAACCAAGCCACCCAGCATGTCCTATAGTCAAGGAGTCAATCACTGTTCTGACTTGAACCCGATTAATACCAGTACTCACCGGCATCCAGGTACATCGCCACGTTATCCAAATTCAACTGGGTCACGGCATAATTGGTACACTCGAGATAGGCATCATGAGCATTCGCACACTTTGATACAGCCATATTGGTGACCAGGTTGGCCAAGCTATCGGGCTCTGTATTTCAGTTAGCTCCCGATTGTTTATTTCTAAGAGCTTTCTGACCTACCAATGACCAGAATAGTGTGTACATCCGAGTATTTTTGAAGAGTGGCAC